GGCCAAGTCCAGAAACACCGGGCTCCTGGCCAATCCCAGAAACACCGGGCTCCTGGCCAAACTCCTCGCTGTCGGAAGGCACCGAAGGCTGCACCAGAGGGGAAGGGCCGGGAGAGGGAGACCTAGCCATCTCCTCTCCGTCATGTTCAGAGCCTTCCTCCTCTGATGAGAGGGACCCACTGGACGGAGCCACAACACCATGCAAATTATAGAATGAGTACTTTGGTGCCGCTCTGGTTGGAATGAAGATCCATTTTCCCTGATTTGATGCTGCTAAAATGATTTATGTTTGATGATGCTTAGTTGCTTTGTTCAAAATCTTGTAGACCAAGTGCTTGAGGGATAAACAACCCAACTCTTTCTATGTATCAGTCAATTTTTGTTTTTGCCTTGGTAGCTTGACAAATTCAGTTGGCCTTATAAAGTCAGGATTGAAAATGTTTCAATCAATAGATATTACGCAGGGAGCGGGGAGAGAAAGAAAGAGATGTATTCCTTCTACTTAGGTGGGTCTTCATCAGAACTGCAATGTTTTTGATTTGTTTAAATCGGAGGCCTTTTCCGTTTCTGTATGTAACGATACATATTATTCAAGCCATATCTAATGATTCAAAATTATTATGTGAAACATTTTGCACCTATTCTGAACTCAGACAGATATGAACAGTGCAGTTATCAAGAAAGATTTAAAGTCCTTCCCCACCTTAAATTCCCATTTTGGGTATATGATAGCCAGAAGCAACGCTGACCACCAGCTCTATACAACTCCCCCAGCTTCAATGTTGTGTTTTTTACAGCCGGCCAAGATCTTCCACTGACCATTTTTGCTACGGTTGTTACACAAATCACTGCAGTTAATTGAATCAACAGCCATTAAATTAATCCAGCTTCCTCCATTAAAATTTTGTTTATTGAAAGCCTTCAGGAAGGTTGCAAATGGCAACCAATGACCCTGGATGGATATTGCAACCATCATAAATACTGTCATGACCCAACAGATCACAGTTTTGAGGAGGAGGAATTAGGGTTAGGGCCATCCAATGGGGATGGCATATCTCCCCTGGAATGTTTGGAGAATCCAGGGGCTGAGGAGGCTGCTGTCACAGGCCCCTCTGGCATTGAGGGAGGTGGTCGACCAGATGGGTAGCTGCCTGCCCTCATAAACGCAGGGGAGGATCGGCTCCAAACAGGCAGTGGGGATGAGAAGTAGCACATTCCCTCTGATGAGGAATAGCTACCTCCCCCATTCGATCCAAGGGCAAGGAGAGTGGAGTGGAGGCAAGCTCAAAGGAGGCCTGCAAGGCTGCTAGCAAGGAGGCCACCCCACCCCTCCTCACAAGGAACACCTGGTTTGAGCTGATTTAATCAGAGGCTGGGGGAAGGTGTCTTCATCAGGAACAATTGTTTTACTTTGGCACGCACTTCCCCGGCCTTGGAAAAACTCTGCTCTGGATTGTGTTTCTAGCCTATGGACACCGAACCTTGCTTGTGGACTCCTTTATTTATTTATTGAATTTATATCCCGCCCTTCTCCTTGCGGACTCAGGGCGGCTGACAATCAGTTAAAAAATACATCAATAACAATTACAAAATTAAAATTAGTTAAAAAGAAATATTTAAATGTTGTCTAATTAAAATATGATTAAAAACCCCTCTAAAAATTGCCCTAGGCCAGTCCTGCTTGTTGGAATAGCCATGTCTTGAGGGCGCGGCGGAAGGAAGGGAGATCAGGGATCACCCTGATCTCTGGGGGCAGCTCATTCCAGAGGGTGGGAGCTCTGATCTTGCCTTGTGGGACCTTGAACTTTGTTTATGATTTACGGACCTTGCCCTGTGGACTTGCATTTTGTTTCTGGATTACAGACTTCCTCCTTGCTTTGTGAATCGGCTCTGGTGATCATTAGCTTTAGTTTGTGGATCTGTGTTGCACTGACTGTGGGTGGCTGCCTTCGGGAAGGTTTGGGGTGGAGCTTTACTGGCCATTGTAAGACCGTTTGCCATGGGACAGCACAGCAATAAAGGACTTTGTTGCAACTTGCATCTGTTTAGACAACCTGGATCATAACAAATACATGCCAGTAGCCAAGCTCCTGAATCATGGTCACATGAGCACTGGGTTGCTGTGACAGCCATAAGTGCAAGGCTTGGTTGTATTTTTTTTCAGCATCATCATACTGTGGCTTTGAACAGTTGCTAAACAAACTGTTGTAAGTCGGGGACTACCTGTATCTCTGAGTTTCTTCATAAGCTATTTCTAAAGGGTCAAGTTCTCAGTTAAATCCACACTTGCAAAGGAGAAGCAAGTTCCAAAGAAAGTGATATCTGGTCCCGGAATCCCTAAAGTTAAGGATAATTTATTTGATAATTAAGAGAGCTTTTCCTTTGATTCCCATAAAATAATCTATTTGTTAGCTACCCAGTTGGGGAGGTAGCATATTTTAAAACATTTTTAAAAGGGGAAAAATAATTTCACAATTTCAGATAAATGTATCCTTGTAAAGGCTTCAAAAGACAAAAAAGAACCAGGAACATATTATAACGAGTATTTTGGAGACTGAGATGAGGTGCTATTTTTTTTTCTTTCTTTGGTTTTTTTTTCTCAAGGGTGTATTTTTTTTAGTGGAAATAGCTCACAAAATGCTAGAATTATTAGCTACCTGGAGTGAGCCTGCTGTAATTTGCTTCATTTATTTCTTGTGAACAAATGTAGTTTGTAACTTTCCTGTTTTTCACTTTTTGCTCTCCCTGACTTAACCTTCTTCCTACACAAATGCTTTAAAGAGGTTGAGCTATGCACCAGGAGAAGAGAATGATTAGATTGTACAATTTGCAGCAGTGGGAAAAAGGTAATACTGTACTATATTAAGAATATGAATCGTGTTGTTCATTGTTCAGGCAACTTCTCTTCTACTGTCTAAACATAACTTATAACACCCCTTAAGACAGGTTAGTATTATTCCAAGAAAAATGAGAAAGAAAGAGCATTTTCCTTAAACTACCTAGTAAGATTTTTTTTTTATTGCAAGAGACAAGCTATTTTTGAGTATATACACTGAACCATTTTATTAAAGTATTTATGAAACTCTTCCTTCATACCATCTCTTTTTTACATGGTCTCATCTTGACATTGCAGATCCAAGAGTTATAACCTATCATTAATGTACTACAAGAATGTCACATTTGTCTTCCTGTGAAACTTTTTCCATCTTACAATAATCTGTACTTATGGAAAACAATTTGAAACACTGATGCCCAAGTGACAATATAAAACCACTTTTTGTGAGTTGGGCTACTAATCTTTCTGGCTCAGCAGTATCCATTCCAACTAATAATTCTCAGCCGTGGATATTTCCAAGATGTTGATGGAAGGCTGTGAAACTGGGGCCTTCTGCAGGAAACACATACAGGGAATCCTCGACTTACGGCAATCATTGGGACCAGAGTAGCTGCTAAACAAGGCGGTTTTTAAGCGAATAATCTCTGAGTTTACAACCTTTTTTTTGCCAAAATTGGTAAATTAATCACTGTAGTTGTTAAATGCATCATGCGGTTGTTAAGCAAATCCAGCATCGCCTATTGACTTTGCTTGTCAGACATTGCCTGGAAAGGTTGCAAATGGTGATCACGTGAACCCAGGATGCTGCAACTGTAGTAAATACATCCTGGTTGCAAAGTCCCCAAATTTTGATCACGGGACTATGGGGTACAGTTGTAAGTGCAAAGACCAGTTCTAAGTCACTTTTTTTCAGTGCTGTTTTAACTTCAAATGGAAGGAACATGGTGGCTCGCATGGTTAGGATGCTGGATTGACAATCAGCAAGCCTGCGTTCAAGACCCAAGTGCTGCTGTGGGATGGGGTGAGCTCACTCCAGCTCCTGCCAGCCTAGCAGCTCAAAAGTAAGCAATCTCAAATAGATAGAAGGGTACCACTTCAGTGGGCACATTAATGGGCACATGAAAGGAGCCCCCAACCAGCTGTCCCCAGGCAACAATGATGTCACTGGCTAATAGTTACAAACTGGAAGCATCTTGGTGCTTCCGACACAGATGGGATGGGACTCCAAAGGGTTACTAAATGAATGGTTGTAAGTCAAGGGCTTCCTCTATTCTGTGTCCTTGAGTTATTGCTCCTTCCTGAATTCTACTTTCCATTATTCACGATTGCATCTTAATGTTCCTATTCTAACTTTACGAAACTTGGACCATTGGGAACACGCCAGCATTGAGCTTAATGAAAGATGAGTCAGGAGAGAAGATGTGAATGGTGGAAACTATAATATCTTATATTACCACGGATGTCCCATCTCTGAATGAGACCCCACTTTCTTACGCTGGCTGACATCTGTGCTTTTGCTGTCTAGAGCTAATTAACTTCAATTTAGCAAAATAATAAATGTTAAGAAATTCCCCCCTCTCTCCTCACTCTCTTTTGGGGTTCTGGCATTACAGTTCCTCAAATTATCCTACAGTTGGTATTTTGAAATGTAAAATGGCTGGAGTAGAGATCATTAATATAAAGCCTATGTGGAGTTAAAGCCACCAGTGAAAATATAATACATTTCTTTGCAGCATAATCATTTAATTTTGCTCCATCAGTAGTCTTTCCAGCTGAATCTTGACAAAGGCACAATTGGCTCATTTTAGCAGGTAGTCAAATTTATCAAAAGGGGCTGTTATGGACTTTGCTGCATATTCAGGGTGGATAGGTCAGTTTTTTCATTTCCGACCAGAAGGATAATTAATTCACGTATTAACAGAGCTGCTTCCATATGGATGGACTCTGTGTAATTGCTGTAGCATCTCTAATGAGGGAGCTCATTGGCTGAATGCATGAATGACACAGTACTCTCAAACTGAGAAGTAGTAATTTCACATTCTGGTGCGGGTAAGTGTTGTGTAAATGGTTCAACCTTCATTATTCCTCTTTACAGAGCTGAGAGTACTGAGCTATGAGGAAAGGAACTCCCATATCCTTCTGGTAGCTTGCAATATGATATTACTATTAATTAATATCCATATTTTCATTAGAAGTATTTGTACAGTGGGAAAACATTATTGATTCCTCAATCATGTTCCTCCTAGTTATTCTTCTAATAAATGTGGGATGAGAGTACATTGGCATGCCAGAAAGTGCTAAATACATTGGCTGTCACAAAGAAGAGGGAGTCACCTGAAATCAGAACAAGAAGCAGTGGATGGAAACTAAGCAAAGAGAGGGCCAACCTGTAAATAGAGAAATTTCCCGACAGTCAGAACAATTAATCAGTGGAACAACTTGCCTCCAGAAGTTGTGGGTGCTCTAACACTGAGGTTTTTAAGAGATTGGACAACCATTTTTCTGAAATGGTATAGGGGGTTGGACTAGAGTAGGGGGTTGGACTAGAAGACCGCCAAGGTCCCTCCCAATCTGTTATTCTGCCATACCATAAATGGAAGGTTTGTACATTTTTAAAGGCATAATGGATCCAGATTTTTTTTTAAGATGAGGAAGCAACTTCATATGACAAATTCAATTCTTTCTACAGCAGCCCAGACAAGAAGGGACAAAGGTCAAATGCGTGGTGCATGGACTCTTTTGTGAACTTCGGGCCCAATAGCCAAATCTGGCTTCTTTGGGCGTGTCCTACTGGCAACCTATGGGAATATATGATTGAAGGAAAGATAAGAGGATTTTTATTCTACCCTGAGAAAGAAGTACAGTAGGACAGACATGTGATGGCTGACTTCCCATGATTGTTCCATGGAAACAACAGACTAACTACTGGTAATTCTCCATTTACAACCATTCATTTAGCAATCATTCAAAGTTACAATGTTACTGAAAAAAGTGACTTATGATCAGTCCTCACACTTAAAATTACTGCAGCATTCCCATGGATACATGATCAAAATTTGGGTGCTTGGCAACGGTTTCAGTGTCGCAGGTTCACAAGATTGCTGCTTGTGACTTTTCCAGCCAGCTTCCAGCAAGTCAATGGGGAAAGCTGAATTTGCTTAATGACTGTATTATTGATTCACTTATCCACTGATAAGTTATTTGCTTAACAATCTTGGCAAAAAAATGTCATAAAATCAGGCATGACTTACTTAGCAATGGTCTTGCTTAGCAACATAAATTCTGGTCCCAATGTGGCCATAAGTTGAGGACCTCCTATAGTTAGTTAGTTGTAGCTTCCTAAAGCTTTAGGAAATTTTGGAAGAGGAGAAGAAGGAAGGGTAACATCGTATGGACCCTTGCATTTTACACTGTTTTCAGCATCACTGAATTTCTTCAAAAGATTGTAGAGTATGCGTGTAAAAGACCTGGTACTTAAACTAGATAGCACGATTGTGTCACAAAGACACAACTCATTATATACGATAGCCAGATTTCACACATCCTTTTTAAGTGATGATGCGGGTTGGCTTAGTTTTGACTTGTGTGAACCCAGACAACTGTGCTTTGTCTTAATTCAATAAATTAAGGTTGAGCAATTCTGGCTTAGTGCCTTATACATGGAACGTCCGGGTATGGTTTTCAACGTTTTGTGATGAGGATGTGTGAAAAAGTCATCTCAGGCACAACAGCTCAATTAACAGAATAACAGAGTTAGAAGAGACCTTGGAGGACTTCTAATCCAACCCTCTGCTCAAGCAGGAAACCCTATACTATTTCAAACAAATGGTTCTCTTCTTAAAAACCTCCAGGGTTGGAACACCTACAATTCTGGAGGCAAGTCGTTACACTGGTTTATTATTCTTGCTGTCAGGCATTTTTTCCTTAGTTCTAGGTTGGTTGTCTCCTTTATCAGTTTCCATCCATTGCTTCTCGTTCTGTATTCAGGTACTTTGGAGAATAGGTTGACCCCATCTTCTTTGTGGCAGCCACTTAGATATTGGAAAGCTGCTATCATGTCACCCCGGATCCTTCTTTTCATTAAACTAGACATATGCAATTCCAGCTACTGTTCTTCATATGTTTTAGCCTCCAGTCCCATAATCATCCTTGTTGCTCTTCTCTGCACACTTTCTGGGGTCTCAACATGCTGTCACCATAGTTTTAGTGGGATCAGCTCCTTCCTTTACTTGCAGTTTCTGAGTCAACTGTAATGTCTCTGAGAATGAACTTCCAGACTTGTACCACCCCCATCCCAGCATATAGGATGAAGTCCTCGCCATTAAAAGAAATATACTTACTTTACCCAACCGTATGTGTTGCTATAAGAGAGAGGGTGAATAAACAAAATAGGATAAAGATAGCACCCCTTCCAACTCACCTGTCAGTGATCTGGTGGTAGCACTCTCATAAAGAGGTACTCCTTCCCCAGCATTGTTGAATGCTTTCAGAGATATGACATAATGGGAACTTGGTTCTGTAAATGAAGCAAATATAATATCAACAGAGTTAACAGTGTGAAGCAGATTTGGGCAAGAATCATAAACCTGCTTGCCAGATCAAAGCAGCTTATAACATGTGGTTAAGATACATATCTATATGCATACTTAATATAATTTTCCTTGATTTGTTCAAATAATCAACCAAATATATTTATATATTATATTTATCAGGCTGGATCTTGGCTTTTTTGAGGAGCCTTTGATTAAGCCACCTTATCTTATGGTCTGTGAATTAAGAAAAGGTTCAGCTTTGGAATCTGGATAGAGAAGTTTTGAACCTCCCCAAGCATGAAACTATTTTAAGAGATTAAAATCTAGGGTACATGCATTGATTATGATTACTGATATTGTGCTGTATGTATTATATTATATATATTGCACTTTGCATATTGGCATTGGAGGGCATCTAAAATCTAATGAAACAAACAAACAAACAAACAAATAAATAAGCAAATAAATAAAATTTAACTGCATGCCAGAAGAAAATGAAATCTTAAAAAAAGCTCAGAATGATTCATACATTTCTAACTCATGTACATATCTAATGTTCAAAATCAATTTTCAATCATATTTCCAGGCTATTAAGAAAAAAAGAAGATGAAATAAAATTGTTCATTTCTTCCCCGTTTCATTTACAGGAGCAATAAATAACCGCTGAGCTACTGGAAATAGTAGGAAACTATTTTTTTTTCTGCCCATTTTATTTAATCCCTGGCCGTATATGATGGATTGTAGTTTATTTGGTGGATTATAAGATGTTTTAAGTTCAGAACTACATGTTACACTTTTCATGAGTGGTCTCAACTAGGCCCAGTGAGAATTCTGAAGATTTCACGAGAGAATTGTAAGATTCATCATACAGTCTCTGATTTCATTTCCTCTTTTTCTGTTTTTAATCACTGACCCCTTCCTTATGAATCCTGGCAAGTATACATAATCTTTTTTAGTGAGGGGGTTCTTGGTGCTCTTTGAACTTGTTTTTGTTTTGTTTTCTTGCAGACATTTCATTGCCAAATTAGGTAATAAACTAGTCTAGCACTGATGATGTTACCTAGAGAAAACTCCTCTCCATTCAAGCACTGATAATGTTACCTAGTTTGGGTAATGAAACGTCTGCAAGACGCAACCAAACTCAGGGAATACCAAGGACCTTTCCTTTCAACCCTGAGCTACAAATAACTAATAATAATAATAATAATAATAATAATAATAATAATAATAATAATAATAATAATAATGATAATAATAATAATGATAATAATAATAATAATAATAATAATGAACAATGTTTTTAAAATGAAGACCAATATTTGTCCTTATGGAAGCCATTGTGTTCCAAAAAGGAGACAAGTCAAGGACAACAACTTCAACAAAAAAGATGGACTGTGAAGGGCAACTCGTTAAAACTATGTTTAAATCAAACAATTATTTAAATTAAATTAATTTATGCTCTATATAAAATAACTTTCTTACTCTGGCACATTAGCCATTACAATTTGGCAGCAAACTGTAAGGTGACCATTCCCTGAGGACATTTATTGCTCTGAGAGTGAATAGATATAAATTTGGCCGGGAAAACAATGAACAACTCAACAGTCCACCTTGTAACCACTTTCTTAGAGGCAACGTGCCATCACACCTGGCATACATCACTGGAACAGCACACATCTTAAACTATTGCTCATTGCTATGG